GCATGATTTTCTCAAACCCATTTATTTATTTATTTATTTATTTATTTATTTTAATGGGAATGTGTCACTCTGCTTTATACAGGAGAGCTGGGCAGTTCAACTGCTGAAGCTGTACTGCAGAGCACTGCTGTCATCTTGCATAGCTGCAGCCTCTTCCACCTCAGCCCTTGGAGTGCAGTGCTGGGGCTGTAAGTCAATCCCACAGCTGTGATGGAAGTGATTCAAAGGTCTGCAAGAGGGATGGCAACATATAAAGTCTTTATGAACAGGATAATGAAATAATATATAAATCAGCTGATTAAAAAATCAAAGCAAGAAGCTGTATGGTGTTGTGATGATACTCCTATGAAGGAGAGGGGGACAAAAATATCTATGTGTGAAGAGGCTGAAAAAGACAGCTGCTGCTCTCTCAAGTCCAAAGCAGTATCAGGACAAGAGCCTGGGGAAGACAGCTGCATCTGACTTACTCGCTTAAGGGTCCCTTCTCCTTTTCACCTGAGCTCCATAGCCCTATACATACAAAAATTCACTTTATGATTGAGCTCCAGACCCTGCAGGACTTAACATTCTGCCTCCAACAAGTGCCCAAGTATTAGTTTTAAATTTAACTTCCATTCAAGCACCTGATGAAAGATAGCGGCAACCTGCACACAGAGCTGGTGTTTCCAAAGCTATTACAGGTTACATTTCCTCTTTTTAAGTCACAAGAATCACTATGCTTCTTCCCTATTTCCTCCCTGATTGCCCAACAGCAAGTCAAGCCTTTGTAATCCACTCAATAAAATACTGGTCAGGAAAAGGTTCATTAAGTTGCAACTCTCCTTTGCTCTTGGGAAAATCAGTACCCGAGCTTAGGTTTACTGGTTGCCAGATTTGTCAGATACGATCTGCAGTATACATTTAAACAGAGGGGTAATAAAACTGTGAGTCATCAGAGAAGGCAACTTCCCATTCACTTTGGTGCATACGGAGAAGTTTCACCGAAGAATATGGACTGCAAATATCCATGTTGACAATGGAAAGGAGCCGCAGCTATAGCTGTAACTTAGATTCAGTGATGGTCTTTTGGCATGAACACCCTTAGATATTAGTACTCCCAGCTGACTTCAGTTTCAAGACTGCCATACTCAAAAGAGTTGAAGCACTCTAATCAAATCCTTATTTTAAGACAGTGTTTTTGGAGGAGAAAAATGCAATATTCCCAAAACACATTATTTGTTATCAAATCCCAATCCTTACATATAAATCCAACGCAGTTTGATCTCAGCGCAGGCTATTTATTTTGTTCCTTCTATTGGCAATGCCAAATGAAAACCAATTTTTGCCTTGCAACAGATTTCTGGAGGCCCTGGTAAGATATCATCCACTTCTGTATCTTACTCCTATGCGAGGCCACACAGCCACTCAGAACGGGACTCTCAGTGAGCCTTACAAATCATTAGTGCTGGCCTCTGATCTGTGAATTTTTACAGTTGGAAAAGATTTTTAAGACCATTTAGTCCAACCATCAACCTATCCCCACCATACCCAGTCAGGGTTTTTTCACTCTTTCACTTTGCACAGCTCAGAATCTGGCAGCTGATGACCTGGGTCAGGCCTGCACAGAGGACATTAAGTGCAGCAGTTCTCATCTGCTAGTGGCACAATCTTGTCTTTGCTCTTTTCCTGGCAAATTATTGGGTTCTTGGCACAAATTCACTGTTTTCTGGGGAAGTGGCTGGTGCTGAATCACAGAATCATTGGGTTTGGAAGGGACCTTTGGAGATCATCTAGTCCAGCCTCCTGCTAAAGCAGGTTCCCTACAGCAGGTTACACAAGAAAGCATTCAGGCAGGTTTTGAATAACTCCAGAGGATATTGGTGCCATGACAGTAGAGGTTGAACCTTCCCACCAATATCCCATTACATTTTGGTGCCTTGTGACAGACGGCAGTGGAGGAGCAGTCTGACAAAATGGTACTTGACATGGAAGTGTGACAGAAGCAAAGGTGTGTCATTGAATTCCTCCATGCAGAAAAAAAAAAAAGCACCTACTGACATTCACTGATGCTTGCTGGACATTGATAGAGACCAATCAGTGGATGTGGTTTGAGGTTGTGGGTGGTGAGTTTCAGCAGTGGTGACAGCAATAGTTGCTGTCACTTCCACTGGTCCAGATTTTTGCGAGAATGACATACAGGCTCTTGTTTAGGGCTGGTGACAATGCATAGCTGATGCTAGTGACTATGTTAGAGAAGAGTTTTGAAACTGATAATTTGCTGTATCACATATTGTTATTATTCTCTTTGTGTCTGTTGTAGTTTTTATGGACATAAATAGGAGGCATTACTTTTGGAGCTACCTACCTATTTTTATACTGGTAGTGGGCAAAACCTGGTACAAATAGTATAAAGTGTATCTCTGTGGCTGACCCAGCTGGTGAATCTGTTGACACAGAAGGAGCTGTGAGAAAATACCTTTAAAGTGAGGTATATATGAAGGTTATCTTGATTGTCTGTTACTTAATTTATGGCCCTGCATGAGTCTGTTATGTGTAATGGAGATAACCACAGGTAGTGAAATGAATGAGCAGAACATATATTGTAGGAATCAGTAAGTTGTTCAAATCTCCATTACTGCTCTGTCAGGTAAACTGAAGTAGTGAATAGTTGATGAGCTGCAAGGTTGATGCAAATTGTCATTTGGATATGATGAGGCTCTAAATTCTGAGTTTTCTAAAACACACTACAAATTAGATTCATAGGTAAATACAGGTATAAATGTTTCTTCCTTAAATAGAGCTCACAGATTATTTTGTCTGAATGTGATGTCTACTTGTATAATTATTGCAGGAAGTAAAAAATAATGTGATCGCTCTTAAAACAAGTGAAACATGAAAAATACTCAATGTAAGCTTATTTCAGATAACTTTGTTCCAATAGTAAGTATTTAGAAAATATGTCCTCAGATAAGAATTGCCTTAGCTTCTCTGCTCAACTCTGAAACATTTTCCATGATGGCTGCTTTTCACATTTTAATTGATTGGAAAATAAACACAAACTGTAACTCAGATTACACTGCAAAGCAATGAAATCAAAAGAATTAAAATCTTAGAGCAAGCTTGGTAGGTTTACTGAATTTTGAAGCTTGCCTTCTTACCTCTAGCACATCTGGTGCATGACATCAGAGGTTGATTCCAGCCTTGTCTCATTGACATATTTAGGAGATCTGAGGCTGCTGTCTGAGACTGTGTCACAGAGCACATCTAAATTTGCAAAGCAGATGTGCAGTACACATTGATTTCTATGTTTAAGAATATACTATAGAAGAATCAGCCATCAGTGTCATGATGTAGCAGTCAGAATTGATGTTATTCTGGGTTCCAGCTCCAAATTCTGCCTTTACTTTCTTTTTATTTTCTCCTAACAGAAGGACAAAGAGAGGCATATCTTCTTAATGGCCAGCCTTGCACAGTGTGCACTGTGCTTGTGTGTTGAGGTGTAGCCCACCTACCCATCTTTAGAAGCTCACTTCTGGAGTAGGATCAAAAATACATTAACAGGCAGAAATTAGAGGAAAGGCCCAACTCATGAACTCAGTGAAAGTGTGGTTAATCCAAGGTGGAGAGAATTGCCTCCTTATTCTACTAGCCATCTGTCTGTGCACTCATCTACTCTGGGACCAAAAATTAGTATGTAGAAGTCTTTTTATTTAGTGCAACAGAGCAGAGAACTTTCTTGTATACACCTGGAGTGTTCACGTAGGCAGCCATTTGAACAAACATCCTTCAGTGCCAATGGAGAGATCTGCCAATCTTCAGAAAGACAGGAAGATGAATGATTCTATGTTGTTTTGCACAGCAGCCAGCTTCTTCTTGCACTGCTATCACACTGGGCTGCCAGCTCGCACAGGACATCTGAAATGTTGCAGTCAAGCCTCATGAGTGAAAATATGTCCTTAATAGCACAGAACATTCTGAGCAGATACCTGATTCAATGCCATGACGGCAGGGAATAATTTGTATGAAAGCAGGCCTAAGGCAGACAGATACGCTTGAATCTCTACCAAAAGGATATTGTGATGAGGGGGAAAAACATAGAATTTGTTGTAATCAAAATAGGCACCACAAATGTTTACAGTGAATTATTTCTAATCACATATCACTGCATTGTCTGCCTTGCTACAGCTCTTCAAGCAGCACTTTTCCCCCATTGCTCTGCTAGTGGATCAGATTTTTAGAAGGTTGCAATTTCGAATTCCTCTGAATTATCTGCAGTGCTACCTGAATTATCTGAAGTGAGAGCTCTTTCCTGACCCGAAAAATTCACTCTGATACCCAACTCAATTTATAACCTCTAACTTCTGATACACCTTGTTCTTCATTTCACTCCCCACAGTAATCATCTGTAAGCATACTTTACAAGTGAGGTGGAACCAGTATAATTTAGGGATGAATTTGGGTCTCTTAACAGCTGTGATAAAATAAAATAATTCATGAAGTGGAGTATGAATTTTAATTTGTATGACAGTCCCTTAATGAGTATGCTAAAAATCATTCTTGAATGCAGTTGTATTACAACAGCTGATTTCTTTATTTATTGGAATTACCCAGAAAAATAAAGCTTTTGGTCACTGCCCATCGACCTCCTGTTAGTGGCCCATGGGGCAATGCAGAGAGTCTCAATAGAGATTTATTGTAATATTTTTCAAATTGACCTGAATTCTCGTACCCATAAATAACTGCAAGCACAGACTAGTTAATAGGAAGAGTCAGGGCACATTTTTCACTACAAATCTCTAATTGCTAGGCTTATGTAGTGGAAATGCCAAGTCACGACCTGAAGCGGTGGGTGAGCACCTGCAGCAGTGATTAAGCACCTGGTAGGAAGGCTGGGCCAACTCAGGGGAGCTCAGGTGCATGCAATGTACCTGACTGACTAGAAGGGGTGGAGCCAGGGTCCACCCCTTCCCGGACCTCATTTAAGGGTTGGCAGTGGAGGCAAGCATGTCTTGCTGGAGATCCCTGTCTGTCTGAGGTCGTCTACTGTAAGTAGTTTTTTGTTTTTTTCGTTCTTCCTTTGTTTCTTTTTCTGTGGTTGCTGCTTTTGAGCTTGTTCTCAATTGCTGAGCCAAAGACTTTGCTGCCCTGCTATTATCATCCCATTATAGAATTACAGCTCACAACTGAGAAGTTTATTGTTGGAAATAATTTATGAGTTGTATAGAATATGCTCAGTTTGATGTTTTTCTATTTTTGCAAGCAAATTTTTCTTCCAGAAAGTTACTGCAAAACTTGCACAGTGCTTTTAAAAAAAAACCCACACCCAAGGCCCAACTTCATTTCTCTGCTTACTCTCGATGTTTTATAACTCTTGAAACTCTAAGGATTTTTTTTTTTGCCATTATGTTATTTTATAAAACTTAAGTTCTAAATAATGCTACCCAATACTGGGGTGCTTTCACAGCTGCTTATCATGAATGACGTATGGTGGGGAACAACTTTTCAGTAGCCAGCAAACCACGGCTTGAAATGTTTCCTGCTGAAAAAACCCATCAAAGAAATACCTAACTGCAGGCATGAATTCCATGTAACACCTGACTTCATATTAAAGGTCCAACAGTGCATGAAAATCATGGGATTAAACTCAGGTGTAGAACAGAAGTGGAGAAGTGTCAGGTGTTGCTAATCCTATTACCACTGACCTAAACTCTAATGGTGTTAATGTATTCTGGACAGAACCAAAATTTGCTGTAAAAGTTTATAAGGTAAATAAGCTATTTAATGCTTCGTTTAATTGCTGAAGGAGACTTTGCTGCAGGATAGGTGAATGCTTTTCTAAACTCCTTCTCTCTTTGTCTTTTCTAGTCTGCTCCTTCAGCTGTTGAAGGATTCTGAAATGTTGCTTTCCCCTAGTGGGGCCTTCTGTAAGGCCAGCACATCAGCAACATAAAGGTGCTGACTGTAAGCAGAGAGGTTGCTAATACAGGCAGTCCCACCATCTGGGCTATCCTAATGGGCTCCCTGCTTGATCCTGGCTCCATCCTAGCAAGGCTGTAGGTGAAATTCCTACGCAATTCTAACCAAAGTTTTTTCACTGATGTCTGGTGTGTTAATATTTGATCATGGCTGTACCACCAGTGAGTGCAGAAGGAAGTTGTTGATGGAAAAGTTAACAGCTGTTTACTGCAAATCCTAATGGTGTGCCCTAGATTAGCAGAAAGGCTTGACATGTTGATGTTTAAGTCCCTTCTCATGAATGTTTCATCACTAGCAGTAATAAGTCTTTGTACGTCAATGGTTTTCTACTTGATCCCTCTGATTTTCTTCCAAATTAAGTTATATTCTCACTTGTACTATTACCAAAATGCCATCTGTGCAAGGCAGTTCAGACATACCTATGCAACTGTCACATCACTGCTTTTAAAGCATCCAAATTTTGCAGAAGGACTTGCAGATAAACACTGGGTGAATTATCTCCAGTGGATAGATAGGCACAAAGGGAAGGAGTACAGGGAGCAAAGTGGATCCCAAAGTGACCCTAGAAGATCCACATGTGGGTGCAGCCTCATGAGGCTGCTTGACTCTTAGATGAACACCTCTGTGAGCCTGGCTTCCATAGCTCCAATTTCTAGTGTTACTGGAGCTGACATGCTCTCTTTGGCTGTGGGCAATCTTCTAACTGTTGTACTGGTGAACTACACATCTGCCTGCTCCAAGATGGTAGGTGGGCCAAGAGCTGAGAGACTTGTTCTTTCAGCACTGGCCAAGATAGTGGTTGTCCTATAAGTACCTTCTCTGCCTCTCCCAGCTGAGAGCTGAAGGTTTATGGTAGAAGAGACAGGATATACATGAGAGACCATGTAGAGAATCCTTGTTGTCCATCATGCTCCAGCAAGCTGCAGCATGTGAGAAGAGAGGAGAACCACCTGCCTTAAAGACTTAAAAGTTTTTTTTGCTGTCTTATATTGTGCTCTCTCCAGCAGCACCCCTTCCATAAGAAGGGTGAGGACCTTTCCCTATGCAGATAATCTGTTTTCCAGAGCAGTTAATGTAGTTTAAGGCATCAGATACAGCAAGCAGAATTGCAGTCATGTCCCTAACCAGCAGGATGGTTTAAAAAAAAAAAATGGAGAGAAAAGTGAAAGATTAAGGTAAATGTTAATACTCCCCAAACTGTTTGTCACTGTTGTTTGTTTGCTTAGTTTTGGTGTTTTTGTTGTTGTGGTTTTTTTTTTTCCTGGCAATTTTGTTGCAGATTTTGCATCTAGCTCTTGAACCTTTAGACTAGGAGAGCAAAGCACCTTTCATTTTCTAGGAAGATAACTTTTAAATCCTTAAAACTGAGGATGAAAAGCCTGAACTCAAAAGCCCTCTTCTCCTTTCCATTAAAAAAATACGTATTTTAAATGATTTTTAGACACTTCTTACAAGAGTGCAGTAGGTTATGAATATTTAGAGTACCATTAATTAGTTACTTGTCACATACTTGTGAATGTGGAAGTCCAACAGCTAGAACAAGAGACAATAAACAAGTGCTTAGCCTAAAGTCTGAAACTCATCCTGGGACCTGGTATGTGAACCAGTGCAGCAGCAGCAAACATGGAAGCCCCAATGTGAACTCTGTAAATTTAAGACACTTTTTAAATAAGCAGCTATTTTTATTATATGGAATTTTAGTTGTAATTTCTTGTTGTCTCTGACCATGAACATTCTTGTTGTTTTTTTTTTTTTGTTGTTGTTGTCCAGCTTCCTTCTCTTACTCATGGGTTCTCTAAAGGAGCATTATTTTTCAAATAGCATCCAGTCTCAGATGACTGAACTGTCCAATGCCTACAGGTCACTTGATGGATTTATTGGGGATGAATCAGTGAATAGTGTATGATCATGTTTTCTTGTTTTGTTATAGGAAGGCCACAAGACAGCTCTGACTTCAATATTTGTTAGTTCCTCACAGCCTGATCATTGTAACTGAAAAACCCTGTGAAAATCTGATCTCTTGTCCACTATATAGAAGATGTAAATTTAGGCACACTTTCTCACAAGAACTGCTTGGCCCAATAATGATTCTGCCCAGCTGTGCGACACAGTATTTTCCTAATATAACTTACTAACAACACGTAAGGGATGAAAATGAAATTGTATAATTGCAGACACAGGCAAGAATGATACATCTGACATTATTAAATTCCTTTCTGTTTTCTGAGCTTCTTCTAATTCAGGATGACCTACTTATCTGTAGCAATCTTTAGCTAAAATAAAAACTCGGATAAATGAGACTGTATTTCACTCCTGATCTAAAACGGGAATAATATTCCTGTTGTAATGTGTGGATGGGAGAAGCACATGCAGCCTGGTCCTGATGCTACTTGCACAAATTTTACATGATCATACTTTTTTCCCCTTCAGTGTTGTTTTTTCAATAGGTCATAGGTCACACCAAATGAGGTTGAACCTTGTTAACTGCGAGGGATATGAGGATGTCAAGTAATCTTAGTTTTTAAGACACTGAGGAATTGCCCCTAAATGGTTTAGGTGGGGTAGAAAGTGGTAAGAAAGTAAGAAAATACGAACATGCATAACTGAAGTTACTATGAGGAATTCAGTTGTGCTGCAATTCTCAGCTAGTTCATTTTTAAAATTGTAATTAGATTTTAATTACTGAAGCAGATGGAGCCCCTATGGTCCAAGTAATAGATGCAGCAGAAGTAATGTTGCATGTACAGCTTATGCTCAGACTCTAAAAAGTATTGGAGAAGCTTTTTTCATTTTGTCTGATTCTAGTGAATGTACAGGTGGCTGCTGTGGTAAGAACTCCCAGTATTAATCTGAGTTTAAATTTGCCCTCAGAGCAAGCACTGGACTTACCCACTCATACATTGGATGAAAGTATAGTACTGTGAATCTATTTATGGGAAGAAAAAAAATCCCTTTCTTACTGTTATAAAATTTTATTTTACCACATATGGAGCTTCTTTAACTATGGAAACCTGTATGGTTCAAAGTGCGATTTTATTTTTCTACCCCAATCTCCCAAAACTTAATTGTAAGTCCATCCCCTGACTGTCCCAGGGAAAGCAAGAGGGCTTTGGTACTAAAACCATAGTCAAAATGGCATTAATGACTCTCTCCAACTGCTTCAATGAGTCATAAAATATAATGGTTTATTTTGTAAAAGCAATGGTAAACATGAACACCTGCCTCATAAGTTCCAGGAGGCTCTTTTAAAAAAGAAACCTTCTTAGTCATTCTGATGAGCTCAGAGAAGCCCTTAACATTGTTCCACAGTTGTTCTTTGAAGATTACTATAACCTTTGTAAAGTTTTTTTATTGACTCTCTTCCCTGCCATTTGTTGGGATCTTGGGACTGGATACTCCCAGTGGAGCTGTGCTATGGAGACAACTGTAGGTGCTCTTCCCTCTCACAGCAGCCCAAAATGGTTTTAAAGGTCCTCCTGGTTGAACAGTGCTGTGTTTGTGGGTCTGCTGTCTCCTGCCAGGTCACGGGCTACTTGTACATCAGATAATGCCTTCCTTGCACAGCTGTGAAAAGGAAACAATTCTTCATCTGGTGAAATCTTGGCAAAGACCAGGTTATAAAGATTTCTAAGACTGGACCATGAATAAAATAGAGATGCAATTTTTTTTTTCTGGTCTGGCTGCCCAGTCCTCCAGAGACATCCAAGTAGATCTCCTATACACATCTGTCATGCTGCTAACATTCCTCTGTACAAAAGTGGCCGGATGAGCACCAGCTGTGAAGTGCTGGGATACTGTTACAAGGAATATCTGTGCCCTAAGCAGAGCTTTGCAGGGCCCAGGTGCAGGTAGTCGCTATAATGAAGACTGACAAATAGGAACATAAGCATCTGACAAGTGTCCTTGTTAACTTACAGAGGTAGGCTGCCTAGAAAAAGGAGCTTGTTCCCCTTGAGGGACCTCTTCAGTTTCCAGAATCTGCAGAATGTGAATACTCCAGAGGTATGAGTTGCCTAGTATGTCTGAGTTTCTAGCTAGGTTGTGTGGGGGTGGTGATATATACTGAATGCTGGGAAGGAATGCAAAAGCACATTTGTTTGTCTGGGTCTTTGTTCCTCCCTTGTTTTATTTATTCAGACAAGTAAGGGTGAGCATAGCTGAACAAAAGAGACTTGGGAGCCTTGTATAGTGTTGACTATCGTAGAAACATTGTGGTTCTGGGATGTGAGTCAAGTTTGAACACTGCGAGGAAGGTGCAAAGGAGAGTAGGATGGTTCTGTTAATGTGGAGTGCTGTGCTGACATACAGGTTGAGAATGGTTGCTCAAAACATAAAGCCTGATACTGTAAGCATAAAGTAGACTACCAGCTCAGGAACTATAGGATCATCTGATGTTTCTAGCAAACACAAATGTTTCCACATTTTAGGATCAGCCATTTCCAAGTCAGTCCTGGTCAGTACTCTCACAGCTGTTTTCCTGACTGCACCTATACTCTGTATATGAAGATCAGTGCTGAAAGGTAAGGATCTTAGCAGAGGAGTTTCAATTCTTGTTCTATCCACTGGATATGGCAAAAACTAACTAAAAATAGTCTTCATCTGAAGTACTGCAAATAATCACCTGATACTGGGGGTGAAGTAACAATCTTGTTGACATCCATTAACACCTGCAAGATGAAGTCTACCTACAGCTCTTTCTGTTGTTTCATCGTTTATGCTGATAATTTTGTAAGTGTTTATGTGTACTCAGAACAAAATAGATGTTTCTGAAGGTTCAAATCTTGAATAGAGTACTTTGATTCTTCTGTTAAGTTCTGTGTGTTGTATAATAATAAATCCTACACATTTTTGCAAAAGAGTATTGTTGATCTTTCTTTATATGTGGAAGTAGAGCAGTTTTTCTCATGGTTATGGAGAAGAAAAAGTGGGGGAGAAGATGCAGGGTTATGTAAAAGAAATTTCAGGGAGTGCCAAATATTTGCAGCTGGAAGTATTCTGTCAATATCAATTTTGACAGATCTTCCATTGGGAAAGTTTAGTATCTAGCTAGATTTTCATAGAATCATAGAATTTGTAAGGTTAGACATGGATCTTCTATAGTTCAAAGTGAGTTCTAGTACTCCCTGTGAATTGTTCTTTAAAAAAACAACAAAAAAGATTTTCCTATACCTTCAGTAAGCCAGAAAAAGCACATGAGAAAACCATGTCAGCTTCACTTGTACACCAGACTTCAAAAAAAAATTTGTCATTGCCTTAATAGTCAGAACATAATAGCTTTAAATCCAATTCATTTGGAAAACCTTTATTTGCATAATACAGCTATTGTAATTAGAATTACTTAATCCCATTAATGTCTTGGGATGATCCCATTAATAAATCGGGACCTTGAGCAGAGCTACTATGGGTTGAGCTATTTCTGTGGAAGTGTCATAGTAGCTTGTAGGGCCCTTGAAAACACTCCAATTGAAAACATAAACTATTTCTAGATATCTTTTATAGAGAATACTACAATATGGGGAGGGTGTGGAGGGAAGGAGGGAAGGGAACCTTATTTAAATGTCATTTAATGAAGGTAACTCTGAGTTGCCTTGAGGTAGAGGAAAGATTTAATTCTACCATTAAGGAACTCTGATAAATGTCATTAAGATTAAAGAGATGTAGTCAAGGTTCTTGAGCCAAAGCAAACTTAATTATGATATCATAACTTGAGGGGAAAATACCAATTGAGGAGCCTAGGTGATTCTATTTTGAGATGAAGATAGCTGAAAGCATGAAATACTTGTAGGCCTTTCAGTGAAGCCCATTCAGTTAGACTTATTTTTGATCTTCTACAAGTGCATGGTGACATGATCTTCCTGTGGACCTGTTTTCATTTTATTTTTTTTTTTTTTTTTGAAGATATGATGACTCCATAACAGAAATCTATTATTAGGTTGGAGATCACTGCTTAAGGACAGTACACTCCATAAGATAATGAAAACCTGAAGCCTTCAGAATGAATGATGCGGAAGGAACCTCTGAGGTGAGCCATTATGGAGCAGCTGTTGAGGTTCATGTTAGAACATGATGATAAATCCATGTTAGTCTACACAGTTGTCTTGATAACAGTAAAATTTGCCGAGTATGGGATCAGATACTGTCTGTGATCGTTCATATGATGTAATGCATAGCATGGCTGGACTTTCTCTTGTTCCAACTGAACTAAACTTCCTCAAGCTGTGCCTTCCTATTGACTAGGGGATTGCATGAAGCTGTGGAAGTTCTCAAAAACAATATGGAAGAGGCAGCCTTCTTTGGGCTGTAGGAGATGGAGTAAATTGGAATTCAGCTCTGAGTATGAGCTGCATTTTTGCCACTTTTCCTCCAGAATGATGGAAGGAATACTACTCTTCTTTATTTTGCAGAAATATATTGATCCCATTTGTACTACTCAGACTGGAAGTCTAGCGTGTTTTACCTTCTCAAAAACTTCTAAAAATACCTATTCAGACTTTGTACTTGGTGGTTTTGGGAAATGTGATATTCCAGTTAGTAATTAAATGAGAAGGAACACCTCTCTTCCCCCCCCCCCGGGGGGGGGGGGGGGGGGGGGGGGGGGGGGGAGGGGGGCCTCCTCTAGGTAAGCTGCTTTTTTCCCCCCTCTCACTGGAAAGGAAAGGACTTGTTTCATGCTTTTCTCAGCTTGCATTGACTTCAGATGGGATTGCCACCAGCGGGAAACCTGAGCTTGTTTGGAAACAAGCTTTGGAGAAAAAGCTGTGATATGAATATAATGTCATAGCACAGCGAGGGCTAGCTGCTCCCTGAAGGCCAGTGAGCTGGGAGCCAAGGTAACCCTGGTACAGGCCACCCCGCCCTCATCCATGGACACCATCCTGAGCATAGAGTATGGAAACAGAGCTAGGGCTGGCAGGGAGACTCCAGGGAGGCTGGGTCAGTCGAATCTGCAACCTGACAAACTGAGTGAAATCAATTTATGGGTAGGAAGAGCCAGGAGAATAACTTAAATCATGCATTGTCATGATGCTGTATGCAACAGTTTACAGAATTATGCTTCTCTTTAAAATGTTTAAAAATCCATCCAGTTGGTCTCTATCTTGAAGCAGCCATCATCTGCTCCTTAGGTGATCAGTATTATTGCATAAGTATTTTGACCTGTATCTTTTGTGAAGGGACATAACCTCACCCTCCTGCAGTCTCAAGTCATGGATTATTTCCTGCTTTCTTCAACTGGGAACAATTCTTTTTCTCTCTGTATGTTAGTATGAAGTAGATGCCAGGCTGTGACCAATTTTCTTTTGAATGGTTTATGTGGCTATGTAAATCTACTTCCTTTCTCCTTTCTTCCTTTATTTTTTTTCCCTGATGCTAAATTAATTCCCAGCACTGCAGTTATGGGTTTTTTGGTTTTGTGGTTTTTTTTTTTTTTTTTTTTTTTTTTTTTTTTCCAAATTTACAGAGTAAAACTGTTCACATAAGTGATCAATCTAAGCTGTGGTGGCACAATCATTGCTAAGGATAACTAACTTCCTACTGCTCAGGATGGTTTTGAAGTTTGTGTTATCTTGAATTTCTACACCATCTAGGATTCGCAAAAACTGAACAAGAAAACTTGAGTCTCTCTTACTCCCTTTTCTAGCAGTTCTTGATTTCCATGCGGAAGTGCAATTAGGACAACTTGGTCTTTATTGGCTGAATCAACTTCATTATATTGTTACACTCTTCTTCTCCCAGAATTGTGTATTTGTCAGATGTGTTTCTATGGCTTCATTGGAATTAGGATATTATTCCACATCTTTGAAGGAAATCCTAACTTTCACATAGCTTTGTTATTATCAGCACCAGAGCTTACCTATAATTTTACATTTCCAAGTTGGAAATGTTGGATTCTAAAGAAATCTCAGTGCTACGGAAATGGAGTTCAACATTGTACGTTTGTCTTTCTATAAAAGTAATTCTGCTTGGAAACTAAAAAAAAAAAAAAAGGCTTTTCTTTGTTAATGGAAGATGCGTGAGCAGAAATTCACAGAGAGTGATCTCTAAAATCTCTTCAGGTAAACATCCTGTGGGAGTTACTTAAATCCTTTCATGATATAAAATTGTTGCTGGTTTTTGTTGTACTAGGAAACTCTAAGAAGATAAACTGTTGAAACTTTGATATTCATTGCTACTGTATCAGATTTCAGAGACTTTCATGAAATGTTAAGTCAGGGTATCTGGCAACTCGAAAGTACTCTGGTCTATTGTTGAAGTACAGATACCACAAACTCAAAAGCTTTTTGCGCAGTACATCTGCTTTTGACTACTTAGAATCATAGAATCACCGAGGTTGGAAAAGAACTCTATCATCCAATCCAGCCATTTGTCTATCACCATTATTTCTCCATTAAACTATGTCCCTTTGTATAACATCTAAACGTTTCTTGAACACCCCTAGGGATGGTGACTCAACTGCTTCCCTGGGCAGAGGTTTTAAGGGGAAGTATTTTCAAAATTTTAAACAATTTGCAATTGTATTCACTTCCAAAAATTAGGGGAAAAAAGGAAAGTTTTGAAATGTTTTTTTAGGAAATTATGCTTCAAAATAACAAACAGTATTTTTGTTCATGAATGTATTTAAAAAGAAAACTGGAGAGGCATAGAGAGACAAAATGATTATTTAAAATTCTTACAGCCACTGGATTTTTTTTTTGTTTTTTGAGGGGGGGTGGAAAAACTGTCTTTGTCAGCCTTGTTTTTTGATACAGCCTTCTCTCTTCATGACTACATGTTACAAAATATAAGAAATAGTTTTCTCATTGATTTCTCACTGTCATCTGCACTTTGTTTTATCTAACATACTTTAATAACAGGAAAAAATAAATGCAGATAAATCTTCAGTTTTTGAACTTGCGTTGGTTTGGTCATTTGGCCTTCAAAGATAATCACTCATGAATTTAAAAAAAAAAAAAAAAAGGAAAGAAAACCCGATCATTGCCCTAAGTTCTTACTATTACTGAATTCTTCCATTTGGTTGAGTATTATTTCCCGTATGTTGTTCTATGGATTGTATTATCAGTTGTGTTCTGCTATAATTAATTTGTATCTGGAAGCCAACAAAAAAAGATATAAGTGTTGATAAGACTATTTTTTTTATAGAACGCAAAACATAATGGATGAGTAGATAGTGCTAATATATTTAAACACTGAATCCACAGCCTTTGTCTGGGACAAAAGAAGGCAATTCTGTGCTAGTGTTTGGTTCATCTTTGTCATTCAAGCAAAATTTATCTGGCTCATTTGAGTTTACGTGTCTACAATCTGACATAAAATGCAAGAAGTACTGCACTTCTAAATTGGTTGTTGATTACTAATCTGGATGATAGTTGCAAATATGACCTGACAAATCCATCTTAGACATGAAAATTAATTCAAGTAATAGCATCCATTATGAAAGCAATCTCCAAATGCAGACATCTTGCTGCTCTTGATGATTGACTGAGTTCCATTAATAGATGTTCCTTATCTCTCTCGTACT